CTGATATCCAATTTTTTTCATAAAAACGCCATCAGCATTTTTTGGATTACTGGTTGAAATCAAACAAGTTTGGTGTGCACTGATGTATGCCAGTATTTTGGCCTTTAATACAAACATGACCTGCAATCTGGGATATTTGCTATGGACTGGTAACGTCTTGACCACAACCCGCATCGTCTCACTTTCATAAGAGCGTAAGAACATGAGAGTTTCTTACGCTCTTGTTCTTTCCAGTGTCCTCATAGTGGAACGACACGTTTAATAAACTAGGACAATACCGTTTTGCTTGTTACCTTGTGTTTACATATATGTATGACCGAGGTGTCCAGTTATAAATAAGGAAAGTCTGTGTGTTGGGAAGAAATACCATAGTGCCAACTCTGCCATGATTTTATTTTAACAACAACTTTTCATCCATAAGATGAAAAGTCACTTTGTCACTTACTTTATCTACTTATTATCCTGGCACTATTTAACCTGTACATTACTACATACGTACTACTACAGCGCTTCACCATTCACTTTCAATGCAAACCTGACGCTTTTGACGCCGAAGTTAAGTCCGGTGTGAACGCCCCTTTATACCTGAGCGTTTAAGTCGCTGGCAGTGCTAAAGCGGACTTAACCTGCCACCTTGTGGCGATAAGATGTAATATATTTCACGCAGCTGCGTGATTCATGAAAAGCGTGAGTGAAGACGACAAAACGAAAATAGGACCTAATGTAGCTCACTACACAAATCAAGTAGCTTGCCCATCACTGCCTAAAATGTATTATTAATGTTTATCGTTACATCCAGGTTTACCGCGGTCGCATATTGTCGCATTAAAACAGTGTTTTTTCATGAAAACCTGAACAGAAAATTCTGAAAACCTCTGTGCACGTGTATTAAGAATGTATATGTATAATGTATTCTCCGATTAACATTTAATGTGTTTATTGTTACACCATGGATCTATGTGTGGCTACACTGCAGTGGAAATAATGAGATTACATTCAAGTCAATGGAGCTTTCTGCGTCTACTGTGAGGAGCCGTATATTTTATTAATAAATACTAGTACGGGGCACCCTCGAGCACGGCTCAGTCGTTCACATGTCTGCTGGCCTTCGGTAAGTCAGATACCCTGTGAACCGGATGAGGTCCTGTGTGAGACCAAATACAGTGCCTTGCGAAAGTATTAGGCCCCCTTGAACCTTTCAACATTTCGCCACATTTCAGGCTTCAAACATAAAGATATAAAAATTAAATTTTTTGCCAAGAATCAACAACAAGTGGGACACAATCGTGGAGTGGAAAGAAATTTATTGGATAATTTAAACTTTTTAACAAATAAAAAACTGAAAAGTGGGGCGTGCAATATTATTCGGCCCCCTTGCGCTAATACTTTGTAGCGCCACCTTTTGCTGCAATTACAGCTGCAAGTCGCTTGGGGTATGTCTATCAGTTTTGCACATCGAGAGACTGGAATTTTTTCCCATTCTTCCCTGCAAAACAGCTCGATCTCAGTGAGGTTGGATGGAGAGCGTTTGTGAACAGCAGTCTTCAGCTCTTTCCACAGATTCTCGATTGGATTCAGGTCTGGACTTTGACTTGGCCATTCCAACACCTGGATACGTCTATTTGTGAACCATTCCATTGTAGATTTGGCTTTATGTTTTGGATCATTGTCCTGTTGGAAGATAACGCTCCGTCCCAGTCTCAGGTCTTTTGCAGACTCCAACAGGTTTTCTTCCAGAATGGTCCTGTATTTGGCTCCATCCATCTTCCCATCAATTTTAGCCATCTTCCATGTCCCTGCTGAAGAAAAGCAGGCCCAAACCATGATGCTGCCACCACCATGTTTGACAGTGGGGATGGTGTGTTCAGGGTGATAAGCTGTGTTGCTTTTACGTCAAACATATCGTTTTGCATTGTGGCCAAAAAGTTCGATTTTGGTTTCATCTGACCAGAGCACCTTCTTCCACATGTTTAGTGTGTCTCCCAGGTGGCTTGTGGCAAACTTTAAACAAGACTTTTTATGGATATTTTTGAGAAATGTCTTTCTTCTTGCCACCAGATTTGTGCAGTGCACGACTGATTGTTGTCCTATGGACAGACTCTCCCACCTCAGCTGTAGTTATCTGCAGTTCATCCAGCGTGATCATGGGCCTCTTGGCTGCATCTCTAATCAGTCTTCTCCTTGTTTGAGATGAAAGTTTGGAGGGACGGCCGGGTCTTGGTAGATTTGCAGTGGTCTGATACTCCTTCCATTTCAATATAATTGCTTGCACAGTGCTCCTTCTCCACAACAGTATCTCGGACCTGCCTGGTGTGTTCCTTTGTCTTCATGGTTCTCTCTGCGCTTTAAACAGAACCCTGAGACTATCAAAGAGCAGGTGCATTTATACGGAGACTTGATTACACACAGGTGCACTCTATTTATCATCATCAGTCATTTAGGACAACATTGGATCATTCAAAGATCCTCACTGAACTTCTGGAGTGAGTTTGCTGCACTGAAAGTAAAGGGGCCGAATAATATTGCTTGCCCCACTTTTCAGTTTTTTATTTGTAAAAAAAGTTTATTTATCCAATAAATTTCGTTCCACTTCACGATTGTGTCCCACTTGTTGTTGATTCATGACAAAAAATTAAAATTTTATATCTTTATGTTTGAAGCCTGAAATGTGGCAAAATGTTGAAAAGTTCAAGGGGGCCGGATACTTTCGCAAGGCACTGTATATAACAGCTATGCTACAAGCTAAGCTACAGTCTATGGAGCAACCCCACGTTGCAGTCAGACAGATATGTTTTATCCTTAAACTTCTGTTTGTTTCAGAATAACACTAAATCCGCCATCAAATTGATTTTACTTAACAGAAATGAAATGATCCGAGCATATTCGGGCGCTCTGGTGGCTATTGCACGCCACTATCATACAGCGTTTGCTTGTCCTCCAGTATGGCGGATGCCCCGCGAGTTCGAGGCATCGTGACGTCACGTGAGAGATCTCTATCGGTGCGCGTGTCGCTTTAAGAAAAAGCCACGTGACCGATACAGCCGCAGTGTCGCTTGTCACGACACGGCAAACTGTGTTTAAAAGGTTCCGCATCTGCAAGTGTCACCGGTATGAACCGCTCTCAGAAAAAGAAAATAACCCTTTCAAAAAGGAAAAACATCCCATTTTACAGCATCAAAATGGAACCTGCAACTAAAAGAAAGTATCACTTTAATTTTCACATAAAAAATAAAATTATAACTCAGACAATGCAGTACGTGATATTGTGTACAGAGAAGTATGTAAAGCTCATTGAATCAGTGAGTTGGATGTAATGATTTATAAGATCCACCAGGCGTCAGTATAGAGCAACACAAGCAACACTGTTGCGGCACAGTCTCAATACAGTTTGTTGGATGTTCCGAAACGATACATGAGCTTTCATTTACCCATCACTATTTGTTGCTTCTACTTGCGTGGATCGTGCGCTGCGATCCTTGCTTGTCCTGCTTGAACTCACTCTGAAGTGTTTGTGTCCGTCCTGGTTTAACACACCGGGTGGGTGCGGATTGCGCAGGTGAATAGTTTCACTCGCCATTTCCCTCCGGTGAGGAGGGGGAGTGGCAGTTCGCCAGCACAATCCTCTCAATTTGATAAAACATTAAATTGCTCAAAATAATAATAATAGTAGGCTGAAAAAAAAGAACAAAGGTGCCTTGCACCCAATTGTTTTGAAAGAAAAACATTTCAGTGCAAGTTGATGTGAACCATGAGTGAGGAGTGTATCTCGATACAACAGTGAAGTATTGGACAGTCGCAGTTCAGAGGGTGTTAGTGCGCCTGCGCGAACTCAGACATGTATCTGTGTGTTCAGCGATGCTGAGGGATGCAAATAGAAACTTACCGCAGAGGTGGGCAATGTTTGGCGGGCCAACTTTGGCCCGTGGGCCCCACTTTGGGCACCCCTGCTCTAGATGAATCCCTCTGCATGACACCTGTGGTTTATATTTATAATAAACACAGCTTGCTTATACAAATATATAAATTTTAATCTGTAAAAAAGTTACAGAAGATTTTCACAAAAGAACAAAAAGTCTCTGGAACACGACAAAAAGGAAACAGGAAGTTGTTTTCCCTTCTCAGGCTCTGGCTGAATGATCTTCCCCTTCACCTCGTGCCGGGCGGCAACAGCAGCACACACACAGAAATTTAGAGCTCTAGTAAAGATTAGTTCTCTGGTCCCTCTATAAATGAGGGACCCCTGCACTCTGGACCAGCATGCTCAGCATGGATCTATAACAATAACTGGATAGAGTTTTACTAGCTTATAGCTGTCCTACCCATGGCCACAGGGGGCGCTGTGGTACTGCAGACTATATTCACGTGGGCTACCCAGAAAAACGTCCCATAGAACTCAATGTAAACAAAAACAGCTCGACCTCAGCTCACAGAGAACCTGACAGAGAACCTGACAGACAACCTACAGAGACACTGACAGAGAACCTACAGCTTTCAGAAAGATCAGATTTTGAGTGGATTTTAGTGTCCCTTGCCGTCCTGAACTTTTTTTCCTTCTTAAATCCTTCCGTTTTTCGTTAAATCCAAACTTTACTGCCACAAACTCTGCTCCTTTCCTTCCCGCTGACTCCGCTCTGCTGCTGCTCTGATCAGCAGCTCTGATTGGTCAGAACGCTGCCCTCTGATTGGTCAAAGCGCGGCCAAGCCCCTCTGTGCATGTGCATGAGAGCCACACACGCATATTTGGCACAATCCGTCATGGGAGCTCGTCCACTGCACAGAACCCGGGAGGACCAGATGATGCCCAAATATAGGCGAGTTCAGCTAATCTCCCGGTCTCCATGAAGTCCCATGAACTACTGAGCACAAGCCATTCATTTGAATAGGGCGCCATCTTGGATCACCGGGGCTTGTGAACAGCTAAGAACTCGAGCTGGGGCCATGTCCTTATATGGGCATAACAGGAAGCGAACTCAGTAACAGCTAAAACACTGCAGACTTTGTCATAGAACGGCTACAGCTACAGTGGGGTCCTGGTCAGGCAGCAGCAGGCGTGTGGACCCGCCCTGAGGCTCTGTGTGGGGCCCCACCTGAGGCTCTGTGTGGGGCCCCTGGTGTGTCCGAAGGGCCTCCTCCTCAGTCAGAGCGCTGAGGGTGGGGACAGCGTTGAACATGACGAAGCCGACCATAATGACCACCAAGGACACGATGTACAAGATGGAGAACTGTGGAGACAAAACACAGCCTCAGTCCTGGGTCTAGAGCCTCGGTCCTGGGTCTACAGCCTCGGTTCTGACCGTGTAGTGGAAGAGGAAGAGTCCGCAGAACAGGCTGAACAGGTCTGCGGTGAGCAGGGAGAGGTTGACTGCGGTGGCACTGGTCGTCTGCACCCCCACCGGCATAAAGCTGTACAGGCCAAACATACACAGGGCGTACAGCAGGAAGAGGGCCACTGCAGAGACACACACACACACACACACACACACACACACACACACACACACACACACACACACACACACACACACACACACACACACACACACACACACACACACACACACACACACACACACACACACACACACACACACACACACACACACACACAGTTAGACAGGCCCACAGCTGAGAGGCCACTCAGAGGTGTCTGTTTGTGAACGTGTGTGTTTATCATATGAGACTAGTGGAACATAGTTGATATATAATGTATATACAGTGCCTTGCGAAAGTATTCGGCCCCCTTGAAACTTTCGCCACATTTCAGGCTTCAAACATAGATATAAATTTTTTATTTTTGTCATGAATCAACAACAAGTGGGACACAATCGTGAAGTGGAACAAAATGTATTGGATAATTTAAACTTTAACAAATAAAAACTGAAAAGTGGGGCGTGCAATATTATTCGGTCCCTTTACTTTCAGTGCAGCAAAATCACTCCAGAAGTTCAGTGAGGATCTTTGAATGATCTAATGTTGTCCTAAATGACTGATGATGATAAATAGAATGCACTTGTGTGTAATCAAGTCTGCGTATAAATGCACCTGTTCTTTGATAGTCTCAGGGTTCTGTTTAAAGCGCAGAGAGAACCATGAAGACAAAGGAACACATCAGGCAGGTCCGAGATACTGTTGTGGAGAAGTTTAAAGCCGGATTTGGATACAAAAAGATTTCCCAAGCTTTAAACATCTCAAGGAGCACTGTGCAAGCAATTATATTGAAATGGAAGGAGTTCTTAGAGGCGCAGGCAAGCTGCCAGCAGCCTGTTGCATCGCGCTCCCCCTCTTTTTGCTCCTTTTTCACTTTTTACGCTTGATTTTGTAAATATTTTTGAACACATAGCTACATGAGGCTAATGCACAGTAGAGGGAAGAGTCTTTTCCAACTTTCTCCGTGGTTTTGGGACTGGATTGGACACTATGTGTCTGTGATGCCTGAGTGTGCCCCGCGCGCCCATTGTCTCATACTCCAGGGAGAGCTTACAAGCGCTGCGAGGCCGCATAGTGCTCCCGGAGGACAGACACAACATCCCGGACGAGCTGCTGCTTAAGACGCGCAGGAGCCGCTGCGCTGGGCAGAAAGAACGAGGGAGAAGGCGAGGATCCTCTGCCCTCCGTTACCACCGGGGACGTGCGCTCATTGACCAACAAGGCAGACAAGCTAGCCAGCCTGACGCGTTATCAGAGGGAATATAAACACTGCAGCCTCCAGATCTACACGGAGACATGGCTGACCTCTGATAATCCGGACTCTACTGTGGAAATAGATGGATTTCACATGATCCGGGCGGACCGGACAGCCGCGAGTGGGAAGAGCAGAGGCGGGGGTCTGGCTGTGTTTGTGAATACGGACTACTGCAAGCCAGCGCACTGCACAGTGAAGAGGCAGGTTTGTTGCATAGACATTGAGCTTTTGGTTATTGGCATGCGTCCATACTATCTGCCACGGGAGTATAGTCACGTTATTGTTACAGGAGTGTATATACCCCCTTCGGCCAAAGCTGACAATGCATGTGAGAGCCTCTTTTCCACCATGAGCAGTCTGAAAACACAGCACCCACAGGCCCTGTTTATCATCACAGGGGATTTTAATCACGCCTCTCCAGCCTCTACTCTCCCGTCCTTCACCCAATACATCACCTTTCCCACCTTTTTCACCTTTCCCATACGAGGCAGTAAGACATTGGATTTATTCTTTGTTAATGTGAAGGATGTGTTAGTATTAGATAGCAATATGGCCTACGTGCAGGACTGTACAAAGACTGATTGTTTTGACTATGATGTGCACTGTCTCTGTATGTCTTTTGATGTGTGACGTGACAATATAAACTGTGTACTGACTTTATTCTGTCTGAGAGAAAGAAACAATGGAAACCACTGGAACTTGAGATAAACTTAAACTAGAAATGGTACAATGGCTGAAGCCATTGTGAGTGGCTGCATAGATGTTGGAAGGGTTAGGGATGAAGAAGGAAGAGGAAGGGGAAGAAGGAAGAAGAAAGAAAAGGGAAGAAGAGGAAAGAAAAAGGAAGAGGAGGAAGAAGAGGAAGAAGGGGAAGAAGAGGAAGAAGGGGAAGAAGTGAAGAAGATGAAGTAAGAAGAATGTGTTGTAAGGGGCTGAAAGTGTTGTAAAGTACTGAATGTGTTGTGAAGTGTTGAGTGTGTTGTGAAATGTTGAATGTGTTGTAAAGTGCCGAATGTGTTGTAAAGTGCATAATGTGTTGTAAGATATTGAATGTCTTGTGAGTGGCTGCATAGATGTTGGAAGGGTTAGGGATGAAGAAGGAAGAGGAAGGGGAAGAAGGACGAAGAAGAAAGAAAAGGGAAGAAGAGGAAGAAGGGGAAGAAGATGAAGAGAAAGAAGGGGAAGAAGAGGAAGAAGGGGAAGAAGAGGAAGGAGAGGAAGAAGAGGAAGAAGGGGAAGAAGGGGAAGAAGCGGAAGAAGGGGAGGAAGATGAAGAAGAGAAAGAAGGGGAAGAAGAGGAAGAAGGGGAGGAAGATGAAGGGGAAGAAGAGGAAGAAGGGGAAGAAGAGGAAGAAGCGGAAGAAGGGGAAGAAGATGAAGAAGAGAAACAAGGGGAAGAAGAGGAAGAAGGGGAAGAAGAGGAAGAAGGGGAAGAAGGGGAAGAAGGGGAAGAGGAAGAAGAGGAAGAAGAGGAAGAAGGGGAAGAAGAGGAAGAAGAGGAAGAAGGGGAAGAAGATGAAGAAGAGAAACAAGGGGAAGAAGAGGAAGAAGGGGAAGAAGAGGAAGAAGGGGAAGAAGGGGAAGAGGAAGAAGAGGAAGAAGTGGAAGAAGAGGAAGAAGGGGAAGAAGAGGAAGAAGAGGAAGAAGGGGAAGAAGGGGAAGAGGAAGAAGAGGAAGAAGCGGAAGAAGGGGAAGAAGATGAAGAAGAGAAACAAGGGGAAGAAGAGGAAGAAGGGGAAGAAGAGGAAGAAGGGGAAGAAGAGGAAGAAGAGGAAGAAGAGGAAGAAGAGGAAGAAGGGGAAGAAGAGGAAGAAGAGGAAGAAGAGGAAGAAGGGGAAGAAGAGGAAGAAGGGGAAGAAGAGGAAGAAGAGGAAGAAGAGGAAGAAGGGGAAGAAGCGGAAGAAGGGGAAAAAGATGAAGGGGAAGAAGGGGAAGAGGATGAAGAAGGGGAAGAAGAGGAAGAAGGGGAAGAAGAGAAAGAAGGGGAAGAAGAGGAAGAAGGGGAAGAAGAGGAAGAAGGTGAAGAAGAGGAAGAAGGGGAAGAAGAGGAAGAATGGGAAGAAGAGGAAGAATGGGAAGAAGAGGAAGAAGGGGAAGAAGGGGAAGAAGAGGAAGAAGCGGAAGAAGGGGAAGAAGAGGAAGAAGGGGAAGAAGAGGAAGAAGCGGAAGGGGAAGAAGAGGAAGAAGAGGAAGAAGATGAAGAAGGGGAAGAAGAGGAAGAAGAGGAAGAAGAGGAAGAAGGGGAAGAAGCGGAAGAAGGGGAAGAAGAGGAAGAAGGGGAAGAAGCGGAAGAAGATGAAGAAGAGGAAGAAGGGAAAGAAGTGAAGAAGATGAAGTAAGAAGAATGTGTTGTAAGGGGCTGAATGTGTTGTAAAGTGCTGAATGTGTTGTAAAGTGCTGAATGTGTTGTAAGGTGCTAAATGTGTTGTAAAGTGCTGTAAGTGTTGTAAAGTGCTGTAAGTGTTGTAAGATGTTGTAATGTATCTGTGGTAATGAATTGTTAGTGTGGTAATGTGTTGTTTGGGGAGTAATCTGTTGTACTGGTCCAATGTAAGTTTATGGGAAAAAGTGCTTGAACTTTTGTTAATATCTGGAAAAGTGCAAAAGGTGGAAGTGTGAAAAGTATTAGCAATAAAGAGACGGTGAAGCCGGTCGTAACGATGTATAATTTGTTGAATTTGGTGAAAGCGTTGAAGAGTGCCAAAATCTGGAGGAAGAAGAAGAAGAAGAAGAAATAAGTAGGATAGCACAGTGGTTCCCAAAGTGGGGGTCCCGACCCCCCGGGGGGTCGCGGGAACCCCTGGGGGGGTCGCAAGATGATTTCCACACAAACAAACAAAAATATTATTTTTTTTTGAGCAAATATAAAGCCCTTAAATATTTATTTAGCATTTGATTTGTTTCAAAAGGACTACTTGTTAAATTGTGTTTGGAGACTATAATATATTTTAATAACGTTAGTAATTTTGTCCCAGTCATTGCAGCGTCAATCAAAATCATCACGTAACACAGCTCACATCATGCGCAGCGACAAAGCGTATCCTGCTGTTGTTTGCTAAAACTAAAGGTGTTTGGAGGCTACAAATAAATAATACCTGCTTTAAAATGAAACGTGGTTAATATCCACAACAGAAAAACCCAGAGGGGGAGAAAAGTCACTTGTATCAGGGGTCAGGCTGATGGTGCGAAAGAGAGGGAGAGAGGGCAAAGGAGGGAGAGAGGGCAGAGGAGGGAGAGAGGGCAGCGGAGGGAGGGAGGGAGGACAGCGGAGGGAGGGAGGAGGGCAGCGGTAGAACAGCGCGTTAAAGAGGCCCGGCTTTTCGGAGACAAAGGTAAAGAGGTCCGCACATTAAAAGCGGGTGGCCGGTTTATGCCTTTACTGACAGTAACTTTGGAAAGAGAAGCCGCGGGGATGAACCGCATAAAGTAACAGCAGAAAGCGGCCGCCCGCTTTTAAAATTGCGGACCTCTTTACCGCTGACTCCGGAAAGCCGGCCCACTTTACCGCGGTAGGAGAACAGTGAGGGCGAGCCGCAAGAAATGTGCTCCACTTCTGCTGAGGAGGGAGCCCACCAAGCCCATCACTGTGTCACTACATGAGTAAAAATATGCAAGCCTCCTTTTTTGGGCTGGACAGTGCAGCTCGGTAGTGGCGTGAGTCTCTAGAAAGCGTTACTCCGTATCAAGGAAATACATGCTCATTTCATGTGACCAAAGGGCTGTTGGGGGGGGGGGTCGCGGGTTAGCAGGGCATTTATGATGGGGGTCGCGGGCTAAAAACTTTGGGAACCCCTGGGATAGCATATAGTGGCTGCATAGTCTATGCAGCCACTCAATAAACTTCCAGAGTTTGGCGCACCACGATCCGTCTCTGTCTGCTTCATTCCTGACAGATTTGGTGGAGGATGCGCGGCTCAGTGTGTGCCATTCTCTGGATTGTTTTGAGGGAGTTTCCTTTGTTTCTTTTTCTCAGTGTGAGAGAACGGCACGGTCTGGGAGCGGAGATTCCAGCAGGCTGGAAGAGCTGTTCCTGGATGCTTCTTGTTGCTTCTTTCACTTGCGTTTAAATTGAATTTTCCGACGCGGAGAAGAGTTGGCAGACCTCTTGGACAGTCCTTGGAACCGGTGTGACAAGAATAAGGTAAGCAGACACCTTTTTATATGTAAAGTCTGCATAATTGGATACTAGCTAAATTTTGGTCTGTTTTTGAGGTCTGTCAAACTCTCTCTAAATTGTGTTCAGATAAAGTGAAGGATCCATAAAGTGTTGGCCATAAAGTGAAGGATCCAAAAGTGTTGGCCATAAAGTGAAGGATCCAAAAGTGTTGGCCATAAAGTGAAGGATCCAAAAGTGTTGGCCATAAAGTGAAGGATCCAAAAGTGTTGGCCATAAAGTGAAGGATCCAAAAGTGTTGGCCATAAAGTGAAGGATCCAAAAGTGTTGGCCATAAAGTGTAGGATCCAAAAGTGTTGGCCATAAAGTGAAGGATCCAAAAGTGTTGGCCATAAAGTGTTGGATCCAAAAGTGTAGGCCATAAAGTGAAGGATCCAAAAGTATAGGCCATAAAGTGTTGGATTCTTAGTGAAACCATGGTGTAAAAATAAAAGCAATTTAATAAAAAGGGAAAAGTGTAAAAGAGGCCTTTGTTACAAAAGATTAAAAATTGACGAATTTCAGGCTGATAAATGACAAAAGTATAAAAGCAACAATGTTTCAGTGATCACGGTTTAAATTACATACAGGAAAAGGTAGTTTTTGTTTTTTAGTTCGTTTTTTGGCGTGAACAGAGTTCACCGGAGAATGCAGAGTTTTATGAGCTATGAGAGCTTTTGTAAGTTATTTAAATTTTTTGCCGAGTTTTATCTACTGTTGAGCTATGAGAGCTTTCTGAGTTATTCACATTTTTTTGTCGCAGCTTGGGCTGTATCCAACAGTTGTTTTTGGTTTTTGTTTTTTAGAAAGAGATTTTGAGTTTAAATTAGTTTGCTACCTCAATAAAATAGAAGGAAACGTTAAACACTAATAGTGCCTTTTGTTACAAGTGTTGAAATTGGCCATTTCTATATTTGGATGACAAAAGTATAAACTACAACATCGATTATATTCGCTTAAAAAAGTAATCTTGAAAGTTCTTCTTCTTTCTGTTTTTGCATTTTTGCTAAAACACAACTTTCTGCCTGTGTGTGCACATCTTTATCTTGCTGCCGTTGCCCCCCCCCCCCCCCCCCGCCCTCGCTGCTGCTGCTGCTCTAATTTAAAGGGGACCTACTGCTTTTAGGATTTTGGCTTTTCATAGTTTTTACTCCGTTAAATTTGCGAACATTTGCGATGGAACATTGTGTTATGACACAGTTAAACGTTTTAAACACCATTTAGTAAAAATAAGTTTTGAATAGTATGTTTTTTGAAATCCAAAGATTAGTACAAAAAAGCTTTGCTTTTCTTTTTAAATCTACTGCTTATTTTTTGAGTCCATTATTACAATTAGAATCTGTGTTAAAAGTGATTATTGATCATAGACTTCGTCTAAAAAGAAAGAGGGAGTTAGGATTATCTGTTAAAGTATTATATTATTGAGTTGAACTCTACTCAATTCACCCAATTCACATTGCAAGCGGTGACTTTTTGGTTTTGACTATGCACCTGACCTTGCTGCTGCTGCCACAGCACAGAGACTGCTCTGAAATGTGCTCCAATTCATATTGACTTCATTTGAAAAATGCTGCAATTATTTTAAGTTAGTAGAATATATGCTGAGATAAATGTTCAAGTGTAAATCCAGTTTAGTTCATCTTTTGATTTGATTTAATGTTTTCAAGTTTTGTTTTAATGTTTTCCTAATTAATTTTCATTTTTATAGAGATTTTTCATAATTTCATTTCATTTCATGGCGTCTTTCAAGAAACCCAAGGACGCATAGATAATTAAACACACAGTACAAATGTACACATTTTTTAAAGTTTAAAAGGTTTTAAGAGATTTGAGTCTTGTTTTTTTATTAAGAGAGTTTCTGGTCCTAAAAATGTCATCATTAGTAAGATAATAAGTAATCTTTATTTATATAGCGCATGTAGGAAAGAGTGCTCCAAAATTGTTTAGACTTTAGAGAGAAAAACAATCTCTCTCACATACTGATATCTGTTGTTTTGAATTTGACTATAAGGTTGTGTTCCAGGACAAAATGTGTTCATAAACACATTTCCACATAAGAGTTAAAATAGTTTCATACAATCTTATCCCTGATAGAGCACCTAAAATATTAGAATCAGAATAATGTTACAGCTATTAAAAGTGACAGAAGTCACGATAGAGTAAAAATAGAAATAGATAAATGCATCAACCATAGATACTTGAAAAAATAGAGAATATTTCTAGCCATGAGCTAGAAATATTCATCAAACGGTAAAAGGACCATTTCCTTCAAAATATGTTCACAAGCATTTACTTCAGAAGTAACTCAAGTTAATTACAGTTTTATTAGATACTTGCCAAATTCACTTGTGTTCAAACACCTGTGAATGTTGAAAATACAAAAAATTCATGAGTGTAGCCTAGATTAATTCCTAGATTAATGAGATAGATTACAACCAACAGAGATTCAAAAGCATTTTTGAGAAGTTTAAAAGCTGTCGATTTGCTAGCACAGATTAGAGAATCAAACACCATTGTAGAACATTGACCCCAACCCCAAACCTGCTAAAATAGATTAGCTCTTGTAATAATAATACCAATTTGATTAATGATGTACATCCATCCCAAACTGCCTGACAATAATATCTTTAGATAATAAAAATAAATAAATCCCTGACCACTATAGAAGAGTGAATATTAACCATTTGTCTTACTGTGTTCAGTTTTATTCCAGAGAATGTGGAATAGACATAGAGCAAAATCCCACTGGCACAAAGCCTGTACAGAGAGATTTACTAGATTAAAATGTATGTTTCAGAATATGGCTCAATGAAAATATGCAAACATATTTGTAAACAGATTAGAATAGTTTTAAACTATAGTGAATAGTAAAAGTAAAGTACATAGTCTAAGATTAAATAGTGAAAACAATACAGTGAAATAAGTGTAGTGTAAACAATTATAATTAGAATAAAAGTATAGAGTAAGAAAAGTGAAATTAGCTTCTAATTTGAGACTCAGCTCGTTTTTGTCTGTGTTTTGACTGAATCTGCTGAGTTCTACTGTGTCCAATAGTGTTTGTTATTATTTTTTTCCCAGGATTAGGATAAAATCCACTGATATTTTTTTTTTCACTTTATTGATTGATCAAATTGAGTGATCACATGTGATTATGTGATCAAAGGGGTGAGTG